TGTAAACCATGTATATGCACAATTCAAGATTTAGTATTAATAATCTCGGTGTTTTAGCTTTAATTTCTTAACACACAATGAACAATATGAAAGTAAACAGGATACACAATTATAAAAATGTCAAAATACATCCAATTTATTCATTCTTTAGGGCACTAATCCTAACACTTTTTTTGTCGAACTTTTTTCTTAACTAAATTGAGTAAAGGCTATATGATCGGTGGATCTACTAATGGGTATCAACTGAATTAGTTATAATGTGGTGGTTTTCCTTGATGATAACTACTCCCTCCCTATCCATAAAAAGTAAATTGACAAATTATAAAGAGACTATATAATTACTCAATAGTAATTACGAAGTAATACATAAAACAATTCCAGTAGTTTTCTTTGCATTGAAACTCCAAATAAGGGAATATTTATAGTAAAATATGTATTTTTACTTCGTTGGCAGGAACACTTTTTTTTAAACGTCATATTAATTTTTTTAAAAGTAAAATTTGTACATATTCATATTAAAAATTTACAAGTTGCGACACAAAACTGCTCATACTCCAGATTAAACTGTTGAAAAATAATTCAACAGTTAAAATATAATTCGTACCAGTGTTACAAAATAGCCTTCCCCGTCATAAGTCCACCCTCCAAATAATTGGAACGCCAACGTTTTCTCATATAAATCCCAAATGGGGTCCGCTTGATTCATTTTGTAGTTATCCTAAAAATATTTGTAACTATTCTTCTGCTAATTAAAATACTTCATTTATTTTGTCCTTTTTTGTTCTTATTTATAAATTATGTCATATATCATCTAATAATTTGTAAAATGAAAAACAAGTTGTAGAATACTCTTCCAATTATATCAATCCTTTATGTATATATATATATATATTAATGCATAATCAATCTTACATTATATTACCAAATTAAAGAAATCCTTTTAATTAGTTTGAAGCTATAGTGAGACAATTCAATTCTTTGAATCCTTTTTTCCTTGCCTTTATTATTGACACTTAGAGACAAGGCATGTTCTAATTAGTGTCTGTATACATATACATGTGTACATATAAGACGGAATGATAAAAATTTTATGGACAAATATTGTGGATGCACGCCAAGTAGAGCAAATTAGATAGATCATTAACTAGTGTTTGAATTGGTGCTAATAAAGGGGGGGCAAAACCCTAGAGGAACGGATCACTTGCAATTATGGTGGGTCCAATCCAAACTTTCCATGAAAATGAAGTTCCAATGGGAATTGAAGAAGTGTGTCATTTAAGCCCGATTCGAGTTTTCAGTTCTAAATTTTTACAGTTAAAAGTTCTTAGAAAATATTACATCTAATTTTTTTCTATTACAGTTAAAAGTTCTCAGAAAATATTACATCTAACTTTTTCTACTACAGTTAAAAGCTCTTAGAAAATATTACATCTCAACTCGAATTAAAAACTCAAATTTACGAAGTGAATTAGACTTAAGTAGATAGAGATAGAGAGAGAGGAGAGAGAGAAGTGTGTCTTTGTAACAAGAGCAATCGAATTGTATTATTAATGCCTTAGCACTACCATTGGGTTACACATAGAAGTGGTTAAAACTGAGATAGAGATGTGTGTACATATATACATAATATGCAATTTGCAGTGGTCAGGGAGAGAGAGAGAGAGAGAGAGAGAGAGAGAGAGAGAGAGAGAGAGAGAGAGAGAGAGGACATGCAATACAAATAAAAGGAGGTTTTGGAGTTGTGGTGGGGGGACGTGAAAAGACAAGTCAAATGTCAAATCGAGGGTCTTTGAAATCATATGACAGTCAGTGGGTTGTGCTGTCAATCCAAGGGATTTGATTTTTCTTTCTTCTTTTTCTTTTTTTTCTCTCTTCTTCTGTTTTTTTTTTTTTTTTTTGCCCCTTTCTTTCTTTCGATCAATTTGGGGGCAAAACAACAGCTTCTTTCTTCATCCATCTCTTTCTCTTTCTCTTTCTCTTTCTCTTTCTCTTTTAACGGAACCATACAAAAGAAACAGTTGTTTTGATCTTTTTCCATTGTCGTTGATAGTTCATAAACATTACATACCGGATCACACGTGCCAAGTCTTGTCCCACGTGCAGGCTCATGGTCCCTAATTTAATAAACTTGAGGGGGTTCGTTGGCACCAGTCCCAATGTGTGAATCTTGAACCCCCTAGACCCAGCCGACACACTTTCCTATGCCCCCCCCTCTTGGCCCCACCCACTCCCCTTGTTATATACTTCTGTCTTTTTTATTCCAATCTACACTTAATTGCCCACTTCTTCCATTTTCCTTAATTTCTACCTTTCTTATAACATTTTTTATTTTTATTTTTTTCACAAATCGAGTTCTAAAATTTGACTCTAAAAGTTAAATTTAAATTTTTATAAGATAAAATACTGTAATTAAAAAATTTGAGTTGTGATCCGAGCTATTAAAAGAACATGTGATTCGGTATTTAGAGTACTTATATTAATATGGTAATTAAGATTTGAATATAAAATGTGAGTTTTTGTTGAGGTTTTACATTTACTATCGGAGAACTTTTGTGGTAGGGACTGATATTTTATCCTTATGGATAGAAATTATTGTTTCAACCATTAGATTATAGTTTTTCAATGATCTGATTAATGACTCTTCATATAAAAAAAATTAATTTAACAATTAAATTACAATTTCTATGATAAATAAAATAGTAGTTTCTATCATAAAAAACTGTCTTATTATCGGCATAAATAAAAATTTGTGGATGCCATAGATTCATAATATTATTACATGGTAAAATCCTTTGATATGAATCCCTAATTGCATGTGAAGTTGCAGACTTTTTGGTCTCGAGACTGCGCGGCAAATAGCTACTACAATATACATTCTTTTTCGAGTGCAGTTTAGTGAAATCTTTGTCAAAGAAATATTTGTTAACACTTCAGACTGGTTTTCTGATCATAAAAAAAGAGAAAAGAATACTAAAACATGCGCTATTCATAAGTTGCACTTGATTAACTCGCATATATGTATATAAATATATATATATATGTATATATATATGTAGTTTTTATTATCAAAATCAGAACCTCCACTTCAAAAGAAAGCAATAGTTACCTGTTGACTCTCTTTGTGCATGTGCATCGAATAAACAGAAAATTGCCCCACTTAAAACTTTGTCTAGCAGTGCTTTCACAGCAATCAGTTATGAAATAAATGATGAAAATTTAGAGTTTAAGATATAAACAATTTTTGGTCCACGTATAAGCTTAAAAGGAATAAAAACAAGAGAAAAATAAAAACATGTTCCTACTACTAGAATTTAGGATATATAAAAGACATGACTCATTGAGCCAATTTTGTCCATAATACCCGAATTACAAATTTACAATGATTTCATAGCTGACTTGGAAGTTGGAATGAAGTCCATAATCAATTGTATACTTTTTGAAATATATTAAAGATGTATATATAACATTATATATATATATATACATACATACATGATTCAACAAAAAAAATAATAGATGTGACTGTTTCCATCCGTAAAAAGTTAAATGTGACTGTTTCCATTACTGATTTGAGTTTTTAATTCGAGTTAAGATGTAATTTTATGTGAGAGCTTTTTACTGTAGTAAAAAAGTTAAATGTGACTGTTTCTGAGAGTTTTTTACTATAATAAAACTCAAATTCTAAACTCGAATTGATAAAATAAACGGAGCCTAAATGAATATATATTATGAATATTTTGTCAATATATACAATTATACTAATACGACTGTCGAAGTTCTGAATTCGTGAAAAGTTCGGCTATCTAGTTTCAAAGATGAAATCAACTTTTTTTAAGCGAAAAATCAGCTTATTGCTTATGTTTTGTCTCTTGATAGATATGATCTGTACTTAGAACCAAACATTGTCTATAGATAGTGTTATTATTGTACCACATGTGCAAGAATAACTCTCTCTTAGACTTTTAATATTGACCATAATTTTTTTGTGGTTCCTATAATAGAGAGGTAAAACAGAAAAAAATAATCTTTTGACATTATAAATTAAATCCTTTTAATTAAATTGGTATACTTAGAAGACATTCTTCTAGATTTCCCTTATAACAACTACTCTAACCGAATCCAATAATACACTCTAAATCACACGCGTTTTGTCGACAAGAAAACTCTTTGTTCAAGGCAGTACTTCTGGATAGTGGGCTAGAAAGTAGATTACCATTCTCTTAAACTTCGAAAGTTAATAATGCACCAATAAGGGGGTATAAAAAGATTTTTAAAACAAAAAAAAAAAAAAAAAAAAAAAAAAAAACCCATAAAAACTTCCCATATAAACTTCTCTTTTCTTTTTTGAATTGTCATGACCTATTATATTGCAATAGGGCATCCTAAATTGTCCTTTTTGGAAACCACACACATATCATCTTCTTATTCCTTTTTTTGTGTCCATAAAAAGTATATATATTCCTCTAATTGATGCTAATAATTTTTATGAAAAACAAAAGGAAAATGAAGAAAAAAGAAGATAATCTTTTATATTATAAATGTAATAGACGCGTATATTTAGAAATTATTAATCGAGGTGTCATAACTAAACGAAGGAGAGTTGTTACTAACTTTATTGATGTAGAATTGCATGTCTCTTTTTGGTAAACCTCAACTAATTAAATCAAGTTATGTCATTCTTAAAAAAAAAAATCAAGCTTTGTCATTAATTAATGTTGTTTATCAATAGCAAGACATGCTGGGTAATAATGCACATATGTCAAAATTTTCAATATCCCATTAAAAATAGTTATATTAAAATTCCCAACCCTCCCATGACCCATCATTTTCTCACCCTTTCTCCATTTCTATTTAACTATAATAATAGCTAATAATAATAATCAATCTATCCAATTACTTTATTTTATTTTATTTTTTGGATTTCTTTTTTAAATACCTCAGCCGCCCGGAGTAGCCACCCAAATTGCCCTCTCTCTCTCTCTCTCTCTCGCTCTCTCTCTCTCTAAAAATATCTCTAAACACAATACAATACCACTCTCATTAAGACATAGAATCTCTTAAAACACAATTACAACACTCTCCTCCTTTTCTTCTTCTCCTCCTCCTTCTTCTTCTTCTTGAGAAACAAAATGAACCCATTTGTCTCTTAACCAAAGTTTCTCTCTTTTTCCCTTCTCTCAATTTGATTCCATATCACAACCCAAGGACTATCAAACACAAAGAACACCATCACCACCGTTGATCATCATCATCATCATCATAATCATCATGAGCAGCCTAGAAGAGTCGATGCGATCTCTCTCCCTTGATTACCTCAACCTCCTGATCAACGGCCAGGCCTTCAGCGACGTCACCTTCAACGTGGAGGGGCGTCTGGTCCACGCGCACCGCTGCATCCTCGCCGCGCGTAGCCTCTTCTTCCGCAAGTTCTTCTGCGGGCCGGACCCTCCCTCCGGCGGGCTCGACCCGGTCTCCCCTTCCTCCTCCGGGCCTCGGCCCATGGGCTCGGGAAGCTCCGCGGCCGGCAGGCCCGGGAATTCGGCTGTGATTCCGGTGAACTCTGTTGGGTACGAGGTTTTCTTGTTGCTTCTTCAGTTCTTGTACAGCGGACAAGTTTCCATAGTTCCTCAGAAGCATGAGCCCAGGCCCAATTGCGGCGAGAGAGGGTGTTGGCACACGCATTGCACCTCAGCCGTTGATCTTGCTCTCGACACTCTCGCCGCCGCTAGATCCTTCGGCGTTGAACAGCTCGCAATGCTCACTCAGGTTTTTGTTTTTCTTTGTTTGCTTCTTCTTCTGATAATAATTTTCTTTTTAACTCTGGTTATGTGGTGATCACTTTTTTTTTTTTTTTTGTTCTTGGTTAGTGTGAGTGAGGGTGTATTTTGTGCAGTCCTACGTTTTATTTTTCTTTTTTTTTTTTTGGAATTTTTAAAATTAATATTATTGTTAACTTTTGTTACTGGTTTTGTTGCTTTTGGGGAAGTGGGTTGAGATTTTTTTTTTATTTTTTTTTTCGTAGTCGTTTATTGTTGTGTTTTTGGGAATCCCATTATAATCTTATGGGGTGAAGTGGGTTTTAATAAGGCAATCCCAATACTTATTTTTCTTCTATCTTTATCCTTTTTATCTTTTCTGTGTCAAAATTGGGTTTTAATCATTTTTGTCAGTAATTAATGAAGCTGTTCAAATTTGTTTTCACTAAAATCGTATGATCTCTTCATCGTTTATGTCTGACCAATTTCAGGCTTCCTTCTCATTTTCCTTCTCCTCTATTATTCTCGTCCTTTTGAGGTGAAATTCTGTTGAGTATTGGTGTTTATATGTTATATATATATATATATATATAGCTTGATTTCATTTCATGTACCACTTTCAAGTCTCTCGAATTTCCCAAATTTTCTTATCTTTTTATACACACCCTTGACTTGCTAAATTTAGATCTTAATCCCTCCGGTCTTGTCTTCAACAGTGAGAAAAATCACATCTTTCTCAAAATTCACTTTCCTCATTTGGGGTTTTGAACGACAAAAAGAAGAAAACCAAACTGCGAGAAAGGAAAAAACAATTTAAAAGCCAAAAAAAAAAGAAAAAAAAAAAAAGTAGTACTTCTACTAACTAGTATTCTACTCTACTACTCTCGAGCAACATAAATCTTCAAAAGAAAAACATCCCATCATTTTTTATACCATCCCATTAATGCAATTCCAATTACAAATATATCCCTTAATTAACTTTTTTTTTTTTTTGGGTTTGTGGCAGAAACAATTGGCAAGCATGGTAGAAAAGGCCTCAATTGAAGATGTAATGAAAGTGTTATTAGCCTCAAGAAAGCAAGACATGCAGCAACTTTGGACAACCTGCTCCCACCTCGTGGCCAAATCCGGCCTCCCGCCAGAAGTCCTCGCCAAACACCTCCCGATCGACGTCGTCGCGAAAATCGAGGAGCTCCGTCTCAAATCCTCCCTCGCCCGCCGCTCCCTCCTCCCCCACCACCACGGCCACCACCATCACCACCACCACCACCACCACGACCTCGGCGCAGCTGCCGACCTCGAGGACCAAAAAATCCGCCGAATGCGCCGCGCCCTCGACTCCTCAGACGTCGAGCTTGTCAAGCTTATGGTAATGGGGGAAGGCCTAAACCTCGACGAGGCGCTAGCCCTACATTACGCCGTGGAGAATTGCAGCCGGGAAGTAGTCAAGGCCTTGCTCGAGCTCGGCGCAGCGGACGTGAATTACCCCGCCGGGCCGGCCGGCAAGACCCCGCTCCACGTCGCCTCCGAGATGGTTTCGCCCGACATGGTGGCGGTCCTCCTCGACCACCACGCCGACCCGAATGTCCGAACGGTCGACGGTGTCACTCCACTCGACGTTCTCCGAACCCTAACTTCCGATTTCCTCTTCAAAGGAGCTGTCCCGGGATTGACTCACATCGAACCGAACAAGCTCAGGCTTTGCCTTGAGCTTGTCCAATCGGCTGCTTTGGTTCTCTCGCGTGAAGAAGGCAATAACAATACAAATGCGAATTGCGGCAACACCAATAGTAACGCTTCTCCTACAGTTATTTACCCTCCGATGAATGAAGAGGGGAATATCGATTCCAGGTTGGTTTATCTCAATCTTGGAGCCACGCAAATGGGAGGGTCCAGAATGGACGGTGACGATGATAGCAGTCACAGCAGTGGCCACAGAGATCATCATCATCACCATCAACATCATCAAGGCATGAACCCGGCAATGTATCACCACCACTCTCATGACTTCTAAATTATTGATATTATTGAGCTTAAAAATCGTAATATTACTTTTCCACTCTATAATATGATCTCTACATATATCTTAGTTTCTCTGATATCTTCTTATATATAGATATAAAATAGTCTCTTTTGATTGTGAAGTGGAAGAAAAGCTCATGAAATGATCTCGTCGAGTTTTTTCGGACCTAGTGTTTTCTTTTTCTTTTTTTCCTTACTTCTGCTTATCTCTGTTCTTGTGTCATGTTCTTTGTTTTCTTGTTTTATTACCACACTATATGTATACATATATAGATATTATATATACGTATGTTTTCGTCATATTATTTTGGCATATACGTATAATACATATTTTCTTCGATTAATGTGAAGCGGATCAAAAAACTATATACTTCATGAAATGATCTCGTGGAGTTTCCCTCTTTTTTCAGTTAGTACTCTTGTTTTTCCTTTTCTTATAATTCTTGCGATTCCTCTGTGTTATTGTGTGTGTGTTTTTTTTTCTTCGTGTTCATCTTAATCATAGGTATAGCCTTTTCTTTTCAATCATGACATGGTATGAAATGCAGTTTCATTGGAGAGATGAGACAAGGAGAATCTGAGTTTCTTGGGGTCTGAGGGTCCAATATGATATAGACGAGAGAGAGAGAGAGAGAGAGAGAGAGAGAGAGAGAGAGAGAGAGAGAGAGAGAGAGAGAGAGAGAGAGAGAGAGAGAGGGAGGTCAATCTTTTCAAAACTCCTTATAAGCATCCCTTTGGCCTGTCAAGTCTTCCTTGTTGTGTATTTATTGATCCCTCTTTGGGTCTAAAAATTATGGCCTACTTATTATGTCCCTTTTCATTTCTTTCTTGTCCCTAACCAGCTTTCCCATTTTATGACCAAAATAAATCAAAGACTAAATGAAACAAAGTCTAATAATCCTTTCTATTCCAATTTCAGTCTCTTACGCTAGCGTGTTTCTGAGTTTTCCTATTTTAATTAATATTATTTGACCTTTTTTGTATGGTTGTGGAGAAATTATTGACACCAAAATTAGGGGAAATGAGCTGGCTATTCCTTTTTTTTCTTTTTACTTATTTTTCTACAAATAATATTCTCTTTTTAAATTTTTTTTTTTTTTTTTTTGGGTTGGAGAAAACTTGTTCGGTTATGGCATGGGTTTTGTATTTCTGATTATTTTAATAGGAGGGTGTAAGAGAACTTATGGCTATGGACAAATTAATTGGTTGTCTTGCATGAATGCTACAATTGAGTGTGACTAGACACGACAGGTTTATTTTACTATTTTTTTAAAAAAAATTTTTTTTTTTTAAATTTTTTTTTTTTTTTTTTTGGGTTGGAGAAAACTTGTTCGGTTATGGCATGGGTTTTGTATTTCTGATTATTTTAATAGGAGGGTGTAAGAGAACTTATGGCTATGGACAAATTAATTGGTTGTCTTGCATGAATGCTACAATTGAGTGTGACTAGACACGACAGGTTTAAAATAATATTGCTATTATCTAAATCTAGATTCCCTCCATGTAATCCTCTTTTTTGTCCCCCCCTTGGCTCTTGCGTCATTGGTCGGGCTTTCCCCTCATAACTTCCACAACATATAACAACCGCTAAAAAAAAAAAAAATACAAAAGAAAAAACCCTAAGGCTTTTCAATGTTACTTCTATATATATCATGGGCAAGTTTACTTTTGTGAAAAATTCCTCTTTTATTTCTTTGCATGTATAGCATTATTCTCTTTTGCATTCTCCACTTGATCGATTATCTCTTTTTTTTTTTTTTGCCCCTTTTGTCTCTCTCTTTCTTCATCGACTTTAGAAAAAAAAATAGACCATAGGAAAAATCAAGTATATATATATATATATCTATATCTATGTGTGTGTGTATATAATATCTTGACTTTGAGATGATCTATACATGGAAACATCATCCAAGAGTACTAAAAAATATGGGGTGATCTTCCAGGTAAATATTACTCCCTATATATGGATTATAACCCATTGGATTATTTATGTTTTAGTATATGTTTGCTTAGGTAAAAGATCGTCTCATAGAATAATACAAGCTTGAGTGTTATGTTTTGTCTGTCTTTGATACTAAATTATGCAAGATATACAATATGTTCATATTTTTTTAGTATAGGATATAATTTATTAGTTTTTACATTTTGAAGCAATAATTAGCTATTATTTGTTTGTTTACTTACTTTATTTTGATGGAAGGCCACGAATCTGGTACGTTGGGTTGATCATCATATTTGCATGGAACGTATAGTTGCCTTATCATATTATATACAATTTGTCGTTTCTAATGAATTCTGAGAGAAGCTCTAAATTTCCCATTGATTATAGCATATTAATATATAATTGCCTGCAGGTTAATATTGTTTGTCATTTGTTTCAAGGATCTATATATCCGCTCTAACTCCTTCTTAGATTGCATATATAAAATTCATAAGACAATAATATTCAAGAGGCTCTGGTATCCATCACACACACACACACACACACACAGATATGTGTGTATACATACATACATACATACACACACACACACACATATATATATACACACACACACATACATACTCTAACCACGCCTAGTTGTTTTTGTTGTTGTTGAATAATGATTTTTGTAGGTTAAATAATGTTATACAGTTTCTTTCTTCTCTTTTCATTTGGAAAATTTATATGATGATACTGCATATATAATAGGATTTATGCATTTTTTTTTTCTCTGGGACTATAAATTGTACGTATAACTTTACGTATCGGAGGAAACGGTATTATTGTTGACAAAATCCTCAACTTAAATTGTTCCGGGCAGCAACTTTTGTATGCAAATCTGACAAAAATTGCATCAAGTCGTGAAAAACAAAAAAGAAAAAAAATATATATTCAAGTTTTTATAAGTGATAAACAAAGTTTTGGTCTAGTGGCTAGTCGCTCTAAGCCAAAAATAAAGTTTTGGTGAAGAAGCTATAATTTGATTACTAGGATTTGATCTCAAGGTTTTGGCTTTCCCTCAACGAAAGCATGCATTACTTTCTCCACTAGACATGCTACAAATTGCACTTGGTCCCCTAATATGTGCTTTAAAATCAACACTGACATTGTGTTGCGATTAGTTTTTCTTTTCTTTGTTTCTTTTAATGGCATCATGTTGCGATTATTAATGACATATATATATATATATATATGCTGGATAAATCAAATTATTATTGTAGCCATTTCATGTGTCTGATCTAATTTTGAAAATCAAATGCCATGTTATATGATTAGCCATTTCATGCCATGTTATACTAATATAAATGCATGCATGCTCAGTTCTCAAAACACAGATTTAATTATTTCACGGCAAAAAGAAAACTGAGCCTATGAATAAACATTGTTGCACTATAAATTATGATCACATTAATCATCTATGATAGTTTCTGAAGGCTGGAGACTTGATTTTTTTTATAATATTGACCTAGTCTTGCTCCCAAGAAAAAAATCCCAATATATCATTTGAAGATCGAACTTAATAAACCGTTATTGTTTAGTATTTAATTAGCATTATATCGCTAGCTATATATGGCACCAACTAGCAAGCAAAGCAAGTTGGCCAGGTGCCTTCTTTTCTTTGGTATCAAAATTAATTCTCCCAAATTGTCACTACCGATCTGATTTCTTTGACAAAATATTGCAACTATGTGCCATTGTGATCCATTTCACAAGGATCATTAATTACCGGAAGCTTGAGGACCTGAATTCAGTTTATTGCAGCATGGAACCGAAAGCTGTACACCTGCGCGCACAGTGAAAATATATGCAGTACTAAATATATATATATATATACATATATATATGTATGTATGTATTTTGGATGCATTAATCATCTATGATAGTTTCTGAAGGCTGGAGACTTGATTTTTTTTATAATATTTGACCTAGTCTTGCTCCCAAGAAAAAAATCCCAATCTATCATTTGAAGATCGTACTTAATAAACCGTTATTGTTTAGTATTTAATTAGCATTATATCGCTAGCTATATATGGCACCAACCAGCAAGCAAAGCAAGTTGGCCAGGTGCCTTCTTTTCTTTGGTATCAAAATTATTTCTCCCAAATTGTCACTACCGATCTGATTTCTTTGACAAAATATAGCAACTATGTGCCATTGTGATCCATTTCACAAGGATCATTAATTACCGGAAGCTTGAGGACCTGAATTCAGTTTATTGCAGCATAGAACCGAAAGCTGTACACCTGCGCGCACAGTGAAAATATATGCAGTACTAAATATATATATATATATACATATATATATGTATGTATGTATTTTGGATGCTATATATAGGCCAAGACTATAGTAGATCAGTAGTTTGGATGCTTAAGTAGGTGTAAACCGGTGGAAACTTGGTCACTCTATAAAATAAAATAGAGCTATTTTCACTCTTATTTACTTTTAATTGACTTTGTTCTCAAGATTTTATTTGCTTGATTTTTATTTTAGTTTCACTTCATTTTATTATAGTTTATTTTATTCAGTTTCCCCCTTTATATATTTATTTTCCTTTATTGTGTTAGGTAAATTAGATGAAAAATGGCAATTAGGCAAGTTTGGGTATAATTTTATTCAGTTTGCCCTTTACTCAGTCGTTCCATCGCGTGCCAAACTTGTCCAGTGCGCAAGTGTTTTTCACTCCTTCAGCAGGGGCGTCTAAATTAGCCGGTGTCAGACCCCTTATAAGTAGCGTGTCCCATTCGCTGCATCGTGCCCCAAAACCACCGGCATGCACCTGCACGCTGAGCCACTCCCACGTCGCCACATTGTTGAGCCAGCATCTTGCCCAGTTAAACTGCGCCACGTGTCGCTATAGTGTCAGAGTTTTGTTTAAGCTTAAAAAGATTAAGGTGTTGTTTGGTGTAAGGGTTCTGAACTCGGAACCATAATTTTGATTTAGAATCAGTGTTTGTTTATAAAAAGTAAAAAGTGGTTCTTATTTGACTCATCTAGAATCAATATTTGATCATGATGGTTCTGATTCAATGTTTGAATTCTGATGTAATGTTTTAAACCATAAATCACTTCTGATTCTAAAATTACCCA